CGATCGGGTGTGAAAAGCGTTGCAGAACTGCATCCCGGCCGCGCCGCGACCGCGCCGCAGCCTTGGCAGCGGAAAGCGTATCCTGACCTAAACTAGAGTGTCAACACACGACGCTATGGGCACCGCCACTGCCGCCACCCACAAGACGATCGGGAGGACAAGGCACCACGGGGCGGGGGTCGGCTGCCGTTTGTGACCCAGAAAGTACGTCCGATTTTTCTAAGGTTCGTTCAGCGAAAAAGGGAAATGAGCGCCTGCGAGGCTCAAGGTCGGCCAGCCCGCAGAACGTACATGCACTCCATACGAGAAGTTGCCTACCCACCAGGCGCTCCGAGTGGTGGCACAGGGTGAACTTGGCAGTTTTGGAACAGCGAATCACGGACGTACTTTGTGGATGATCCCTTTGCTGCGGCGACAGTCCCCGAAACATTTTTGCGTGAGCCGGCAAATTATGTAATGACGTCAATCGGATGCTCATGAGTTTTATATTCGAGTGAAACTCTCGCGTCGAGTAGTCTGGAACTGCTGCCCATGAGCGTTATTGGCTGGGAGAGATGCTCTCCACTTTTTTTTCAGAGTAGGCCTACGTCGTTATGTCGCAAGCAGGATCGTGGACCACCCGACCTCTCAATATATAGTTTTGTAGTATTTGAGCGGACAAGTAGTTGGCCTGCCGTCAAACTATCCGTGCTGTGCAAGCGCATCGCTTAAGCGATTGACAATTGACATGGTGGCGAGTTAGGTGACCAGACCACGCCATTTTTTCGGGCGTGACTGTGAGGTCACCCCGTGCACGTGAAAGGCAAACCGAAGGATTTTAATTTTCCAGAAAAAAGTATTTTGGGGGGAAAATCTATTATTTTTTTTCGGAAAAGTTTTATTTTTCCAATTTCTTTAAGAAAAGTTTCCAATTTTTACGTAAAAGTTTCAGAATTAGAATCCCGATGCAAGCCTCTCTTGCGGTAAGCGTGATCGATCCCCTATGAAACATGCACCATTAGCTTACTGCCGCCAGTGGTCCGGCGCGTCTACCCCTCCCCCTCCCCCTCCCTTTTCCCATTGTGACACTGCAAGACCAGCAAGTAGTGAAACAGAAAACAAAACAAATTTTTTTATCGAAATCTTCGTTACGTTTTTATTTTTGTAATTAGGAGAACAGTAAAAAAAGAAAAACATTATTAAAAAATCATTTTATTTATCACCGACGGGTCGTTGAGCGATGTATTTGGCGATGGGGGGAGTCGATTCCACCTTCCTGACCAACTCCTGCAGCAGGGGATAACCCTCCAGAAAGTCCCTTGCCATAAGAGCCTTGTAGTACTTCAGGGGCGCGACAAAGTAGATGTCTGCCCATGTAAGCTGGAAATGAAAGATAAGCTATTAAAATATCCAGATATCACTAATTTACTCGGAAGTGTAAGTTTTAGATGTGATGTGCACCTTTCCATTGACAAGGTAGCCTTTGTTTTCCTTTACAATTTCTTGAAACTTGTCCAAGTAGAAAGGTACTTGCTCCTTAAGCCGATCCTTCTTTGCTGCTTTGCTTGCAGGAATAGGGTCGTAGAACCATTCGCTAATCTCTGAAATTTTGGAAATTGTGCGATTAAAAATGAGTAATCAAACACCTCAAACGTACGTCCTCCGAGGTGACGCCAGGGGAAGTGGTTTGGCGGGTTTGGCCGCCGAGCCCCGGCCAGCCCCTGCCTGCGCCCCGGGTGGGCCGCCGAACCACACAGCTGGTCGGCGGGTCGGTCCACCCACCAAGTCGCAGGCGCAACCAGCAGCGCACTCCTCGGGGAGCATTCGCGGATCGCAGGGAGAGAGATGCCATCGTGTGGCAACTGAACTTACTTAGACGGAAATCGTGAAAGAGGTCGACAGCTTGGTCGATCTGGAGATTCTCAAGGTCATCCTTGCCAGATAATCCGACCTGCTTGGCAAGGTATCTGCTGATGGCACTTGACTGGGCAAAAATCTTGTCGTCAATGTACAAAACAGGCATCTGTCCGTAGGGCATCGCTGTGGAGGTGAGAAAGTTAATGTACAACCAGACTGCAAACTTGAATAAATGTAGTGATTTTCTTTTATTGTTTTTTTTTTTTAAGGTGACTCACTGCTTTTAACCGTTTCCCACTGGGCATAACTGTAGCGGATATCCTCCCAGTCTAGATTGCCGTAGGAAAGCAGATATCTGATGGGCTCCCCAAGGGCGGTGAGGTCGAAGTAGTGGAGCTTGTATTTGGGCGCCATGTTTGCTGGAATCAATCAGAGGAGAGCTGTTGTCAAGGACGGGTCCTAGTATCTCAACAATAATTATTGTAAAGCGTCATCGTGAAGATACGAAATATGGCTCATGTGTATGACTTATACAACTGTTCTGAGTTTTTTCGGGTAAAATCCACAAATATTTTTTCGCAGCGAGCCTCTAGCCTGGCAGCAGCTGAGCGACAAGTGGAAGGGGAATTCGCGATTCGTTTTCAGGGTCACAGCGAGATGCCAGCGTGGAGAGAATGCAACAACTTACATTTTTGAGATTTAGATCGTTTCAAGTTTGAAGCACACGGTCCACGAGCGGAGTCAGCTCGACACGTTGCGGTGGACTGACGGGACCGAAACGGATGGAGGTCCAAATCGGTGGGACCAGTATTTGTTTCGTCAGCTCAGTACACACCACGAAGCCCAAGCCCCCACTACCTCCAGGACTCGTGCCCCCACTCCTCCGAACCTCGCGAGTCCGAACACTTAAGCGTCCAATTGTGCAACTTCCGCAATGACCAGCAGATGGCACTGTATGAGCCAGATGTGCCTGTCACATAATGTAGTCTCTACCCCCCTCCCTCTGCTCTCTCGCCTGTACCTTTTCACCAAAGGTGACACACACGCCTTACGAAGGAGTCTCAAACGGTCTCAAAATTAAGAGTACCAGGAAAGATTCTTGTTCTGGCGATCCATGGATAAAGATCTGTCTGTCTGTCTGTCTGTCTGTCTGTCTGTCTGTCTGTCTGTCTGTCTGTCTGTCTGTCTGTCTGTCAGTCAAGTCCGACGTCTGCCATCTCGCATAGCGCCTGGTAGGTAGGCATCATCTCGTCTGCACTGCATGCGTGTACTGCGGGTTGGCCTACCCTGCGGCTTACAGGCGCCCAGCTCCAGTAATTTACCGGAGTCTGAGGAAAACAAACGTACTTTACACAAATTGTTGTCTGTAATTTTACTAAACTAATTAAACTTAACACGTTACGGCCGGGGAATTGTTGTGCCTATGATTTACGTGGGGGCGTGACCACACAGTGATCATGGTGCACTTAACGTGTTAAAAATGATTGTGCATCAAAATTGGATCCACTTGACGCCGCTTTGACACCTCCTCGATGCTCCTGTCTGTCGTTCTGTACGAATCCACTTATCTGCCCCTTGACCACTTTGGCCCTCAAAGGAAAAGAGTTAAGAGCCGCCCTTCTTTGTAGCTCCACTGTAGCTTCGACCGACTCAGTACTGCGGGAGGTTCAAAAGAGTTGTGGTATCACTTTCACAAAATCTAAGACAAAATAGTTTTCTGATTTTAAGAATAGAAGTAAAGCTGGGCTAGACTTTACTTAGGACAAGAAGATTTTTGTTTCAGGCCAGCTGGTATGGTCAAGGTAGCGGGTCTTAACTTTATTACAAATTCCTCGGGGATGATTTTCCTGTAAAACCTGCAAATATTTTTTCAGAGTCAGTATAGCTCGGCAGCTACTGAACGACATGCAACAGCAACTTACATTATCGAAATGATGTTCCTTTGAAATTTGGAAGACACAGTTGGCAAGCGGAGAGGGCCTGGCGCCTTGCCGATCAGACAACTTGGCCCTCCAAGGAAAATAGTAGAGTGAAAGTAGTGCCGTCCTTGATTGTAGATACACTGTTTGTAGCTCCAGTAGCCGACGCAGGCTTGAAGCCTGAGGCCTGAGGCTTCCCACAACGAAATCGAACAAAATAAAATTAACATCCAAACCCGGAACGACACCGGCAAAGAAGTAAATCCCGTTTTGTTTCTCGGGGGTGCCAGTGTGCACGGCGCTCACGTCGGCGGCCTTGGTGCTGGACATGACCTGGAGCGGGTGGGAGCGCCTGCGCTGGCTGGCGCACGCCGCCGGCGTGCCCTACGTGCAGGCTGACGTCTCGGTGCGGCCATTCCTACAGGCGGCCGACGACGTCCTCCGCTTCCGCAACATCAGCGACGCGGCCCTGGTGTTCGACGGCGACCTGGGTGAGTCCCACCAGACGGGTCAATTCAAGAGTACGGCGACAAGCGTATGTTTTTCTCCCCCTCCCCCTGAAATTATAAGATTTTTTCCAGGCCTTCCCTGACCTTTTCTGACGCATCCCTATGCTTCGCAGAGATGTCGCAGGGCATCTACTACCTGGTGGGACGCTCGCCTCTGCGGGTCGTCGTGCTCCCCGGCCTCGACGGCGACGCCTGGGAGCCGAGCGGCCCGGCGGGGCGCCTGGGCGCCATGCGGCCCACGCCTAGCATGCACGTGCTGCTGTCCGGCGAGGTGGACGCCATGGCGGAACGGGCGGCCCAGGCCGGCCTGGTGGGCAGGTGAGCCGCACCAGCTGCACCACCTGCACCACCCCCACCACTACCACCACCTGCATCACCCCCACCACTACCACCACCTGCACCACCCGCACCACCTTCGCCACCCGCACCACGCCCAGCATGCACGTGCTGCTGTCCGGCGAGGTGGACGCCATGGCGGAGCGGGCGGCCCAGGCCAGCCTGGTGAGCAGGCGAGGCCGCAGCACAGGCTGGCTCCTCTCATGCAATATGGGTGGCTTTTCTCCAAGCTCCAAGCTGACGATGAGTTGATAGTGTTGCGACTTTTCTTGCCTTTTTGCGGAGCCCCGGCCCACCTTCCTTGACGAGCGCACGAGCGTGGACGACCTGCTCCCCGCGGCGGGGCAGGGTGCACCTGGCCCGTCGGTCTTGCACGTGCCCGTCCGCCCTCCTGAACCTGCCGCCTGCCGCCTGCCGCAGGTACACGCGGTGGATGCTGGTGGACACGGCCGTGTCCGGGGCCACGCGCGACGCCCGCCAGCTGCAGAACACCACGATCCCCGTGACCCTGCTCACGGCGCGCGCCTCCCTCTGCTGCTCGCTGCGCGGCGGGGGCTCGCGCGGGATGGGCCCCGGGGACAGCTGCACCTGCGCCCAGCCGCAGCGCCTCCACGAGCTCCTCATCCCCGCCGTCGTGGACCTGCTGCAGCAGCTGGCCGTGGAGGCCCACCGCCAGGGCGTGCCCCTGCAGGTGGAGCGGGGGGTGGACGCGGCCACCATCTGCAGGGCCTCCAGGGACACCCCGACGCAGAACGCGAGCAGTCCCGCCATCGACATGCTGCGCCAGGTAGGCGACGACGCGGGGGTGGCCTCCGGCCCGGCGGCCCTTTACTTGACTTGACGCGCGCGCGCTGCTTGTGCAGCTGGCGGGGCAGCTGCCGGGGCTGCTGGTGCAGCGCCTGGACCACCGCTCGGACGTCGCGCTCCTCCCGGACCTGGTGCTGGACGTGGCCGTCGTGCCCATGGGGAACGGCGCCACCGACGGCGGGGACGCCGAGGGGGACGTGGTGGGCGAGTGGTCCACCACGAGGGGCTTCACGGCGCGCGCCGAGCTGCCCGCCCTCCGCCGCTACTTCCGCATCGGCATCGTCGAGGTGAGGCCCGGTGCTTCGTCCCTCGCTCTCCCGACCTGTCCATACCCCTTGCCTTCACTCCCGTCGTGTACTCCGCAGAGCACGCCGTGGACGTACCGCGCCGAGGACGGGTCCTGGACGGGCTACTGCGTGGACTTTGCCCACCAGCTCTCCGAAATGATGGACTTTGACTTCGAGTTCGTCCCGGGCAGCGACTACGGCGAGCGCGACGTCCGGACGGGCCGGTGGAGCGGCGCGCTGGGGGACCTGGTGTCCGGGAGGACGGACGTGCTCATCGCGGACCTCACCATGACGGCGCAGCGGGAGGAGGCCATCGACTTCGTGCCGCCGTACTTCGAGCAGTCCGGCATATCGATCGGTAGGAGGGTGGCGTTGTGCTGTCTACCCTGGCTACGAACAGTACTTTACTTTTTAAAAATCAGGGTAACCCCCAAAAAAATATCAGGGAAAAAAGAAAATTTTCGGAAAAACGTCAGAAAGAGATCCGAAAAAAATTAAGAAAAATAGGAAAATCCCCCTCTTTTCCCCGTTGTTTCCTAGCCGATCTCTTCGACCTCTTTCAGTGATTCGCAAGCCGGTGCGCAAGACGTCGCTGTTCAAGTTCATGACGGTGCTGCGCCTCGAGGTGTGGATGAGCATCGTGGGCGCGCTCGTGGCCACGGCCGTCATGGTGTGGCTGCTGGACCGCTTCTCGCCGTACTCGGCGCGCAACACCAAGTACCCGTACCCGTGCCGCGAGTTCACCCTCAAGGAGAGCTTCTGGTTCGCGCTCACCTCCTTCACCCCTCAGGGCGGCGGCGAGGCGCCCAAGGCGCTGTCGGGCCGCACGCTCGTCGCCTCGTACTGGCTGTTCGTCGTGCTCATGCTCGCCACGTTCACGGCCAACCTGGCCGCCTTCCTCACCGTCGAGCGCATGCAGACGCCCGTGCAGTCGCTGGAGCAGCTCGCGCGCCAGTCGCGCATCAACTACACCGTGGTGGGCGGCTCCGACACGCACGCGTACTTCACCAACATGAAGCAGGCCGAGGACACGCTCTACAGGTACGGGGGTGGTCGCGTGTCGTTTGGTTTCAAAGTGCCCGCCTTACAGTCGGGTAATAATCGAGCTCTCGGTTTAGGGTGTGGAAGGAGATCACGCTGAACGCGAGCAGCGACGAGACGCAGTACCGGGTGTGGGACTACCCCATCAAGGAGCAGTACGGACACGTCCTGCTCGCCATCGAGCGCGCCGGCACGCTGCCCAACGCCACCGTCGGCTTCCAGAAGGTAAGACACCGACGTCAAATCGACGACACTTTGACCCCAAAAATCGACGTAACTCTGACAACTCAGACCTCTTTGGTCATCGTGCCCAGGTGCTGGAGAGCGAGGACGCGGAGTTCGCCTTTATCCACAACGCGGCGCACGTCCGGTACGAGGTGAGCCGGAACTGCAACCTCACCGAGGTCGGCGAGGTGTTCGCCGAGCAGCCCTACGCCATCGCCATCCAGCAGGGCAGCTACCTGCAGGAGGAGCTGAGCCGAAAGTGAGACCCGGCGAGTGGGGATGCGGTGGGGAGAGGTTCCGCACGTCCCTGTTTGTAGCTACAACCGACACGCCCACAGTCAGCTTCGTCAGAACCGACTTTAGAAATGAGTCCGCTTACGCCCCTCTCCCTCCACCCGGACAAAATTAAAATTAAATAAAAATAGAGGAGGATTTTCCTCATCCCACCGCAGAGCGTCAACCGTCTCACAAACCCCGGGAGGATGTTCTGACCACTGTGTTTCTGCTGATCCCGTCCTGCGGTGGGATAAGGAAGGTACTCCCCCTTTTATTTATTTTTATTTTTGACCGGGTGGGTGGGGAGGGGGGAGGGGCGTGAACATTTACGAGGCTGAGCGGACTTTTGTCCTCAGTCGATCCGAATGAATCTGCATGTGGCCGTGTCGATTGTAGCTACAAGTGTGTAGCTACAAACAGGGGCGCAGAGGTTCCCGTAGCAGCGGGTCGCACCGGGCTGCAACTGAGAAACGCGACTGCTGCCACACAGGATCCTGGAGCTGCAGAAGGACCGCTACTTCGAGGCGCTCACCGCCAAGTACTGGAACTACAGCCTGCTGGGGGACTGCAACTCGGGCGGCGACAACGAGGGCATCACGCTCGAGAGCTTGGGTGAGTGGGCGAGCTCGGGGTGATTGGTGGGCAAGCTCGGAGTGCTTACAAGGGGACTTAGGCAAGTGTAAATTCCCGATCGTGCCCAAACTCGGTATATTTGCTTCTTTTCTATGTAGGTGACGAATGCCGACCAATTTTTTTCCTGAGTGGCATGTACCGAAACTCACTATAAAAGCGTATAATTTCGAAAAATACAAATTTCTATTTTTGTACAAATATTAAGTGATATTCTGAATCAAAATGAGCGTTTTTTTTAGGAGGGGGGGGTAGTTCCTCTACCACTTTTCGATTTGAGACCTCCTTCCGTCATTTTTGACCCAAATTCAATATTTTTTCCATTATTTGCTCCCTTAAAGTACTCTAAAAATTGACACTCAGGAAAAAATTCTACCGTCAGCCGTCATCAACATAGATAAGAAGAAAAAATACCGAGTTTGGGCAAGATCGGGAATTTACACTCGCCTAAGTCCCCTTTTGTTAGTGGAGGAGCGGAGCGCCGGGCAGGGTAGGCCACTCGCCCCGCACGCATGCGACGCTGGCGCGGCGGTTGCCTACCTGCCGTGCTGCTAGGGGCCCGGCGCCCGGGCCGGCCGTCGTTTGGGCACCGCGTTTTTTCAATGTGATGTCCTCCTCCCTCCAGGGGTGTGCGGCCTGGTGTTCGCCCTCATCACGCTCGGCGCCGAGGTCGTCTACTACAAGCGCAAGGAGAACGCGGTGACGGACCTGCAGCCCGCCCGCGCCAACGGCGACAACAACGGCACCACGGCCAAGGACAGCATGCGGCGCGCCTTGGCCGAGGTGAACCAGGTCGCCGCGGACAGGTCCGTGCTGCTGACCAAGTCGTCGATCGCGAGCCTGGCCAAGCAGCGAAGGGCGGCGCAGGGCCTGGGCCAGCAGGGCCTGGCCACCATCACCGTGCGGCCCCCGCCCCCCAACGCCCCAGTCCCGGGCCTCCCCTACGCCTCCGTGTTCCCGCGCGGGAACCTGTACTGAGTTGTTGAGGGTGAGATGCTGTCTCTATGCTCGCACTGCTGCGGCTACACCGAATAGAGTGACGACAAGGATGCTAGAAGAGGATGGCCATTGGCCAGTTAATGAACACAAAGTCTGGGCTTTTAGTTTCTTTATAAATGTGTCCTTTGTTGTTATGCAGTTCTCTTTTTCATCATAGAGCCCAAACACTGCACGTTCAGCCATGTCTCATACCAAGAACCTAGGTAGTATGAGTTGATTTATACTGATCTTTTAATTAGGAGTGCATTTGAGTATTTTTAAAATTGTGACGCACTTGCAATGTCGGCAGTGAAACCAGCACTAACGTCTAAATTGTGAAACAATAAGAAGAGATTTGGCCTGTTGCAGAAAATTTTGGAGGGTGTTAGTTATCAGGCAGCTTGCTGGCTCAAGTTCTCTCATTAACTTTCAGATATAGTGCACAGCACATCCAATTAATTTAGAAAGGAAGGCATGAATCATTTCATGTAGAATGATTTATTTTATTCCACAAAGTTTATAAGTACATGTTTATCAGTTAGCTGGTTACTTTAAAGTAAATTCAGACCGGTGCAGCGACCAGAAATACAAGACTTGCTCAACCTAAACCATTCCATGTACAAAATATAGAATTTTATTTTGGCAATACATATATATATACACAGAAATATATATGAGTGATCTATACATAATTACAATCAATTACCTACAAATAATAACATTTTTTAAAACAGCTTTGCAACAAGTAAATACTACGCCAATCACAAGAACACATATGGCACTTTCATGTGAGAGTGCATGTAGATGGGCAAAGCTAAAAAGAGTAATATCTTGCATTAGGTATTACTAAATGGACGGGGAAGTCTAATTTTCCAGTGCGTTTAAAGCAACTATTTTGACATTAATCGACAAAGAAATGCTTGCAAGAGCGAATGAACAAGTGATTTATCAGAAAATCTAGTTAAACAGATTAAAACAAAACAAAAATAGAACCATTTCCATAAATTAGCTTGCTCAAACAAAAAATTAAAATAATTAATTGAGAGACATACATTTGGTATAGGGGAGTATTGTATGTATCTATAGACTGAGCAAAAATTATTGTATAGAAGACACAGGAAGAAAACCAGGATACAGCCCCTTGGGGGTGTACAACTGCTTATGTAGGTACTCCCTCTATTCAACTTGTAGTCTAATATCTCAATAGTTAACAACCTTCACCCTGCACAACTACATAAGAAAGGTGACAATTCGCTGAGAATTAGAGGGAAATTAAAAATACAAGGGTAGGAATGATAAAATAATTATTTGTGGTAGTACAAAGCCAAGTAAAAAAATAAATTAAACTATGTAAAAAATGAGATGGTTCATGACAAAGCTGCTACATACTGAGTCATAAAAACATAAGACTAACAATAAATATCAAAGGTATGAAAACAAGTAGCACAGAGCAAATTTTGGTAGCAACCTTACTAGGTTATAAAGTGGTCTTGGTGCCTGTATGTTAAAAAACTTACATGAATAGTGTGGTTATTCACCTACTTTATTTATTAGTTCATCACATATAGCAGTAAGAGCCTGATTTTCTTTAACTTTCTGCTCCAAAGCTTCTTCAACAGACTTAGTTTTGAGTTCCAATTTTTTCACCATGGCTTTGAGTTTTGCATTTTCCTGATGATGTTTTTGTTTAATTGCTTCAAGATCCTGGTTTGCTCTGAGAAAAAACAGAAACAAGACATGACAATTAAAAATGGTGACAAGCACTATCTTCTCATATTCTAGGTTTGTTCAAAAAGTACACTACACATACTTCTCTAATTTGGATACTGCATGTGACTTAAGCATATCATACATATTTTGCATTTTATCAAAATTTTCCTGCTTTTCAGCCAAAGCTGCATTTAAGGTTTCTTCATTTTTCTTCATGGCAGTGACTACTGACTTCAATCGTTCATATTTCCTGGAAAATTCAACAGAGTGATATGTGTTCTCAAAACCAACAATTATTCATAAAAATGAAGGTCAAAGTAACATACGTGTGAATATCAGAAAATGCTATTTCCATGTTGTTTAAATGCTGTTGGGCTTGATCTCTGTCTTTAACTAAATCAATTTGCTTTTCCTCTAGAGCAGCCTTTTCCTGACTCTTTTCCGCAACCAGTCTTGAAATTGTTTTCTCATACTCCTTCATGATTACACTGTACATAAGATAAGGCATCAAATGAGAATCCAAAGTGAATGATTATTACAACTCAACAATAAGAGTTGACAGAGAATGACAGTTCAGAATACTCACCTCAACTCGCCAAGGCTTTGAACTTTCTCTTGAAGCTCTTTATCTTTTGCTTTGATATCATCCGCTCTGCGAATATCCATTTCTTGAAGTCTTTGTTCCAGTTCTGATATTCTCTCCTGAGTGAGAAATTGTAAAAAGTTGTATTGCAAAAACCAATTAAATACTTCCACACTAACCTTATAAATTTTAATTCAATTACCTGGTATGCTTTGTCTTGTTCCTCAAGAACGGACTGATGCTCCTGCAGCTTCTTGATTAGATCTTCTTGTTTTACAAGAGTTCCACGAGACCCGATACTCTCTAGCGTCTCATTCAGCATTATATGAGCAGGAGTTTTGACAGGTGTACTTTTATGAGAGGTTGCCTTCAATGGTGTGATAAGGCCCGCATCTTGAGCAGTCTCCTCAGCCTAAAATAAAATACGCAAGACTAAGTTCCCAGAACAAAATAGCCAAAAAATAACAACAAAATTAAACACACCCGTGCAGTAGACCACTTAAAAATTCTAAGACACAAAGAAGGAAAGTGTGACAAAGCACATTCAACAAAGAGTAGGCCTTTCAACATTGCATAGAAGGGAAGGTTTCAGAGTCTCCTCCAGATAATTCGTCTACCTTAACTGTTTGGATTTACAAGATTAGTCTGTACTAACAGACATGCTCAACAATGAAAGTCTGGTTGTTACATTTCCATGGCTATAAGAGACCCTAACAAAGAAGTACCATCAAATTTACCTCCTTTTTAACAGCTGATGGACTTAATGACACAAGTTTCACTGACGTGTTGAAGGCTTGCTGAGATGGATCCTCTCCACCTACAGCACCAGGTTGTGTTTCAGTGCTACAACAATCAATAATAAAAACAATTATTGTTACAATTGTGAAGAGACCAAAAGGGATTTTAACTACTGACAACAAATTTGAGACCACAAAATCTTTACCTGTTTTCTGGGTGCATGATGAAGGAACTATCACGAGTGTCGGATGAGAAAGCGCCAACCAAAGGATCAAATTTCACATAAAGGCTTTCTTTGCGGAGATCTCGAGCACTGCGAGTGCAACCGTGGAGAGAAAGAAAATCAAATGCCCCTGGATCTTTAAAAGCTGGAAACAAAAAAAATGCATCGCCAATTGTAAATGTGCTTGAGTTATACATAGCACGTAACATCAATAATCTAATAAATCTTGACATACCGTCTCCACTCGTAAACTCCTCTTCGTCTATGTTTTCACTCTCCTCAAAGTCACTTGGTGGCTGTGGTCCAGAAACCTACGAAAGGAAATGACAGTTAAATAAATAAACATGTCACGTACATTCAAGTTTCTTAAAATCTATTACAGAGAATGTTGGGTTTTTAATAGGACGAATCAGCATCCATCCAATTTTTCTGAACGAATTCCTGTACAATTACACAAATTGCCAATTGGGGTTAGAAAACATTGGTCATATCATGTGACAGGAGTACACCATTGATACTGAAATCTTGTTTCTGTACATCTGCTTGTGTCCATTAAGTTTCTCGTTAAATAAGACACTTATGACATAAAAATACAGCTTCTGGATTGCAATCATGCATCAGAAAAGTAACACTCACACATGCATAGAAAATTAAATACAGAAGTATGTAAAAAAAATAAGATTAAAGTGTATACAGTGAACATGCAGAAAGCAGCATTAGCCTTGTGTATTACCTGGGCCTTAGAAACTTGTGGAGAATGTACTTCAAACTTAGTGGCAGATGTATCAGCCTGCAGATCAATTACAGTTCGGTTTCCAGGGTCGGGTGAGTCACACTCAGGATCTTCTGATGCAGTACTGCATGTTCGTTCAGACTCATTCAAATAACTTGACGAAATTTGACTGGCCTCTTCAGCAACACCCTTAAAGTCACCTTCTTCAAGAACTTTCTCTTGCAGTTTGCACCTCTTAATAAGAGAATCTAGACCACTGTCAGCCTCCGATTCCAATTCTGCAGGAACAGAATCTAAAATTAGATCTGGTTCACATTCTGACTCAAGAGGGGATGTGTCAGCAGATATAATGTTGGCAAAAGACTCATCCAATTTTCTTGGAGAGGCAGCAAAGGATGGAACAGCGTGCTCAGGATCACTTTGAGAAGCTAGCTGTTCTTCAAGTATCTCCTCAAAAGTACGTGGAGCTTTTATGGGAATGGGTAATTCATCAGCAACCGAAGCTGGTACCGCATTCTCTGGGTCACTTTGTCCAGCAAGTTCAGCAGCAAGAATCTCTTCAAAGGTTCTCGGTTTTCTGATGGGAATTGGAATTTCATCAGCCTGAGATGAGGGATACAGTTCTGCTCGTTCCTCTTCCTCAGCTGGTATGTCTTTCTCTTCCAGTTCAGATGACAGCTTATGCCCTGCTTCGTCAGCAGGCTCAACAGGGACCTTGTTTAATAGTGTAGGTTGACCTTCACTAGTACTTTCCTCTGAGATGACTTCCTCTGTATCTTCAGCAACAGGATGCACACTTACTTCCTCAGTATTAGATTGCACTAAATCATCCTTAACTATTTCTCCACTAGCAGCAAGCTCTTCTGCTAATATTTCTTCAAATGTTCGTTGCTTTCTTACTGGGAGTGGAGCTTCATCAAAACAGTTGGGATCAGGAGTAGCTTCGACATCTGCCACATGAGAGGCTGGTACTTGTTCTTCAGCCGCAAGCCCATCAGCCAATATCTCCTCAAAAGTTTCAACTTTTGTCACTGGTAAAGGAGCCTCATCAAAACTAGTTGAATCATTCTTTGAATTCTCAACATCAGTAGATGATACAAGCTGCTCCTCAGCAACTAAGTCCGCTTGAGCATGATTACTTTCTTGAGACAAGTCTTGACATTCACTTACAATGTCACAATGAGTAGGAGTAGTTTCCTCCTCGGGCTGGTACTCTTCAGATAGAGCCTGGGTTTCTTTCTCAAGCTCACATCCCTTTGAAGTGCCAAGACCCTGATTTTCACTTACTGTGTCACAATGAGTACGGATAGTTGCCTTTTCTTCAGGCTGGTACTTCTCGGATTGAGCCTGAGTTTTTTTTTCAGGGCCACATCCCTCTGAAATGCTCAGACCATCAGTAGACCCACTTGGATTGGCAATTGGAGTTTCAGTAATAGACAAATTCGCGCCTTGCAGATCCGCAACCTGGCAAGGGACCTCTTGGGGAGTCTGGAGCGGAGTCTGACTAATAAGGTGACGCCACTCTGAATTGTTAAAATCTTCAGTACAGACAGTCTCATTAGCACTTAGATTTCTGTCTGAATTGTTAAAATCTTCTGTACAAACAGTTTCAGATAGATTTTGATCTAAATTGTTAGAATCATCATTAAGAGTTTGATTCACACTTAGATTCAGATCGGCACTTCCAGAGACGCCATCAAAAGTCACATTGATGTTACGGGTGGTGTCTGGAATGCCAGTAAATGTAGAATTAAGGCCACCTTCAACTGCAGTTTGAGTCAGAGCAGCATTAGTTTCACAATCCCCTTCAATAGTAGAATCCAGATCACTGTTTAAATTAGTGGATACAGCTTCAGAGCTTCTAGAAACAATTTCATCTGTGGTCTCTAGATTACTGGGTGCTTCATTGAGAATCTGAGTCTTGTTTATAATATCATTTCCTTGTGCTTCTTCTAACGTGGCATCAAAGTAAGACTGAATGGAACTGGAACTAGTCTGGGCGGTGGGAATCAAATTTCCATTTTCTGGGCAAACACTACCCAATGTGTCTTCTGTCAAATCACAGGTTGAGTCCTCATCCAAAGTAAATGTTCCGTCAGCAGATAATGTTTCACCTGCCCAAGGATTGCACAGCTTGGCGGGTGGTTTCTCAAAGCCACCATTAAGAAGATTTGACTGAGGAGCAGGACTGTTCAGAACAAGCTTAGAGAACTGGTCACCAAGAAAACTGACATTCCCACTTGTTTCCGCAGCACTAACATACGAAGTTTCAAAACAAGAGTCAGATGAGGCATCATTGTCTGCAACAAAAAATAAAAGCTACCCTAAACCAGGAGCAATGCAAGCAAAGCTGCTTTTTGGTCAGTTTGTTAGACCACCACCATCACTTTGGTTTTTAAAGCTCCTCTCTCCTCTGTAAATTCTTTCCAGTCCATCTCCTTAGATCCATTGCAAGTGTCAGGCCAGTGAAGATTTTCCATTGCAGTGTGCAATAAGAATATGTACAGCAAGCAGAAAATATAAAATATATAATGAATAAATCTAGAATTTGGTACCCATATCTCTGAGCCTACATTTCAAAAAATATATTAAAAAAAAAAAAAAGAAGAAACAGTCCATACTAAGAGAAAAAAATGATAGAAAAATAAAAATTCTAAACAAAATTCTAGTAAAAAAAATGCTGCTTTCTGAATACTTTCTCATGGAAATTTAGCAAGCAAATGTCTGTCTGTTACAAGAAGACAATTTCCAACCAGAAATATTAGAAGGTGGTGACAAGCAATAATTTAAGATTAGAAGACTCAACTTACCCGAATCAAGCCTATCCGATCTGCTGATGGCACTAACAGCACTGACAAAGCTGATGTCAGAGGCCACAGATCTGCGCTCGCCCTGGCTGCTGGAGAGAAACACTTTGAGTGAGACACAGGTCTTGGGTATGAGTGCGAGATTTGTCAAAAGAACGAAGGCATCATCATCAAGAGAGTCCAACTTAAAAACCACTTCAACCAGTCACAACTTGACTGCACACTCACACCGGCAAGCGTTCAACAAAGAAAGCCATCCATCTTTTACCGGACATAAAATGTTTATGTCACATAAGAGATACAAGGACATTCCAGTTGGACCCTAGCGAGAGAAAACTGGAAGTGGAAGTGATTGCCAGTTTAACACTTGGGATGACAGCGCTCACTCACCCTGGAGAAGACACTGAGGGTGAGTCTCCGTTCAGAGATGCAGGGCTGGACGGTCCGGTGCCCTCGGCGCCCTGGGCCTGCAAACCAACCGACAAAAGATGTTCAACATCACTGTTCAACAGACGGGCTATCAACTCCATGACAATAGTCTGCCGAGGGGTGTGGACGCGCTGGGCTTCCGCCAAGCCGTCTCAGTACTGTCGTGCCGCTATAGGCATCGCCGCCTGTTCCGTTACGAACCAAAATAACCCCCCGAGGGGCGTTAGAGAGAGGGGAGGGGGGGGGGGGAGGATGGCTAGGTCACTGCCGGGGTCGACTCGCCGGCAGGAGGGGGAGGGGAGGGGGAGGGGGAATGCGTGAAGTACGTGTGATGAGAGAAGCGGGCGCGGGCGCGGGGTAGCGACAGTACGGATGGGTGCGACGAGACACCGACTCTTGACGGACCACTGACAGGTGCGAGTTGATCTTAAAGTGCGACCGGTGATTAGAGAGAGCAAAACATGGTTGGAGAACAAGTAATAGTGGGTTAAAATAATGTAAATCACATCAGGGTTATCTTGGACTCAATTCAGTGATGTGAAGCAAACTTTACAGAGAAGGCTTTGCAAAAAGATGTGTTTAAAAAAATCATGAACTGCCAACTTGGTGAATCAACTAATTAGTAAAGCCAATCTTCAATCTTCTTTTTAAGTTAACATTGTCGGCTCACGGAAACCTGTCAGATAAACTGTTCTTTAGGAAATAGAAAAGCTACAAGTGAAAGATAGCAGTAATGTTTGACAAAACATTACTAGAATGACAGTTTTGGCAAGTAAATGGCAATATCTGTCTCTTAAAAATATCAAAAAGAAGTAAAGCTCATTTCTTATGACTCAATGACAATTTCTACGGGATCTTGTCTAGAACTGTACCAAAGCGGAGATACCTTGAAAATAGCAATCTCAGTTGTTAAGCTCAACAAGAGAGCAACGACAAAATGACACACCACTCCAACTAGTCTATCCCACTGGCAACCATCTCAATGAATGAATGACTTCATTCATCACAAAACAGAGCAATAACCTCATCAGCCACATACACATAACAATACTGGGAAGGACAAGGCGTACAGAGTTAAGACAAGTGAGTCAGAGTGCAGGGGCACAGTCAGGTAAAGTTAGGGGCCCGCACGCCCACGCGAACCACACCCGGGTGACAGGTGTGGGGTTCGTGGAGAGCTGCCAGGTCAGAGCTGCCAGTGCGAGTGATTCAACCTAACCACCGCCGCGGCTGGCCCCGCTGCTGGACGACGCACCTGACAGATGTCACAGGTCCCGCACTGTGCGCCACGCCCCGCCGCGCCGCGCCGACCCTCGCGAAAGACGACCCGCGGCGAAAAGCGAAGCTGGCGACGCGCAGACGAGTCGTCATAGAGCGCTGACGGCGCGCAGTCGGGAATTGGTCATGAAAACAACGCGACGGGCCTCAAAGTGGAGCACAACAACACGGCCGCCATGTCACTGACGGGGGCCGACGCTGGCGCCGCCGCTGCGCCCCGCGGCCGGGGCGGGAAGTAGCGCGGCCCTCAACGCTGGCCCAGCCGAGCGCAGCCCGCGGAGCCCGCCGCGGAGCCCTTCCACCCCACGCGCCCGTCAACCAGAAGGAAGGGGTTGGCCGGAGGGTTGGCCGAGGGCGGCCGCGAGGGGGCGCTTCAGGAGGGCTGGGGGATGATTGCGAACTTTGGGAGACATGGAACGTAAACAATCCCGAGGGCTCGTGAGCTTGAGCGTTGACGGCACGTCGTTGTCCAGGCCACAGGCACACACCCCCTAATGACCAAAAGAAAGCCACCAGAGGGAAGGCGCGGCTGTGACTAGCCAGTGCACAGGGCAGGAACGGGGAGGGCGAGCGGGTGGAGGGGGTGTAGCAACCCCTCCTCCTTGTCCAGCGGCGGAGCGGCTCGGCTAGGGCCAGCCAGTCCAGGCCTGGGCGTCGAGCCCGCCCCAGCCCTCCTGCCACCCCCAGCGGGTCACCAGGGCGCCGCGCGCTCCAACACCCTCGCGAGGACTCGGCCAGCAGAGCGAGCCCAGCACGCCGAGGAGCACCGCGAGGACCCACCGGAGCGCCGCACCCTCCAGGTGAGTCCAGGGCGACCGGAGCAGCCCCGCGGGAGGCCTCCGAGTGCCGCCGGCCTCCACCCTGGCCAGCCCCTCACCCCCCAGCATAGGCCACCGGGGTCGCCGGGCCCCGGGCCCTGGCCTTTCTCCAGGAATATAGTCATAGACTGAAGGGAAGGGATCTCTCTAGGCACCCTGAGCACGCCTCCTGGAGCAGCAGGGCAGGCCTTTCCACTTACTGCAAAACCAGGTGGAAAGTAGTCCTCACTTTTGTCAAGTTGATATGAAATTCAAAAGTTGGACTCATTGTAAAATCAAAACATGCAAGGAGTATTGAGATGCTTACGATAAATATTAATTGCATAATGAATAAGTCTGGGACATCTCATCAGTGAAGCAGCACTGTGATGCGGAACAAGCAACTCACCACACTGAGCAGGTTTCTCGGCTTGGGACCATCAGATGAATTCATGTCTTTCAGCACTGGACGATTTGGAGATTCAGATTCTGGGGTTGGCTGATCCTTGCCACTTCCAGGCAACAGCATTGCTCGTACTCCTGCCAATAGCCCGAGAGGTGACAAATATCCAGGAGGAGCATTCTCATCCATATCCAAACTTTTCTAAAGAACCTAGAGCAGAAAAGTCTGAGTGAGAAGAGGAACAGATAAAGGTTGAGAACATATTAAACACAGGACATCTCACAGAGAGTAAGAGACAAACAAATTTCATTTATGCGAACAGGAAACGAGAAGAATGCATTCTAAAACAATAAAACTTTTACGAAGGGGTAGAAATGTAGAAAGTTTAGAAAAGTGCAATAGTTCATTGCAAAACACAAATAAACTTACTGTATTGATGAATTTCACATCTTTGATACAGAAATTAATTAGGAAAATATTGAAAAATAAAAACACTAGTTTAGAATGGAACAATGTTTAATCAAAGCATTCAAAAAATAAAAATTGATGTCAGAGATTTTTTGTTTAACTCATGCAAGGACAAATATTCATGATTCACATTATGGAAAACTTTTTGACTTGAAGTCATGCACTATTTATTCGAATGAGTCATTTTCATTCATTGTCAGGGTGGAATTTAAAAGCTCGGAATCAGACATGCCAAACTCAGGAAAATAATTTGGTGATTCAAATGAAACATTTGATTCAAGTTCTTCAGTAGCTGCTACATACGACACGGCATGCCAAACATCAATAAGTTCCTTGTCAGACATAGTTGATACAGATTCAAATACAGCATCACCTTCATTTTCAAGTAAAAATACAATTTCAGGCGGAAGATTATTCTCCTTGGAACGGTAACCAGAGCAATCAGGATCATGACATTTTTGATAGTACTCAAAATTTTTTAAGTCCACCACATAATACACATTATTACTTTTATGTTGTCGACCAATGTTATGACAGAACCTGTTCCCACTAATTTCATAGATTATTCTGCATAATTCTGAGGAATATGTAGAACGACGAATCACTCCTGGAGAGACTAGACGCTTAATATACCGGTCCAATACTGGTTGAGGTGAGCTTACTCCTTCTTCACGCACAACAGGACAATCAGGAAGATGAGATGAATTTTTTACAACATAAATCTTCTGGTCTTTAGGCCCAAACTCTAAGATAGTTAGATCCTGAGATGTTTCACAGACATGGGTAATAAGTGAGTCAAGAAATAACTGCTTTTCAGCCAGGCGCTCTTTTTTCTCTTCAATTGGCTTGTATAGATTTTCTAGACTAAGAAGCAATGGAGAATTCTTCCCCCATTTAGATGATTTATAAAGCCGAAAATGTCTGTTTTTGGTGTACACTGCCTCATCACAAAATAACTTAGTCACACCATGTTTATCAAAGATAAACAAGTTTTTGAAAAGATCTGTGGTTATACCACATCTAGTGCAAAAATCTTGCAAAGTTTCTTGGCAACCAACCATCAGCCTAACTTTATCACAAATCATTTTCACAAAATTTCCAGCATTGTAATTGTTACGAAAGTAAATATTGGAAAACTGAAACACTAAATGTCGGCTAAATTTAAATGGAGTGGTCGAATCTAAATCCAACACATTCGTTCTGTTACATGACAAACCAAACTCTTCCTTCAAAAAATGCAAAACTATATTGATAAATGTCTCAACCATTTCTACACCGTTGCTTCCTGAGTTGAACTCCTTGTCAAACTCCAAGTCAAAGTAAAGCTTGCACACAGCTCCCTCCGTAATGACTTCAAATGAACGACGTTCCTCTGGAGGTTTGTGGCAGTCGTAGAACCAAAACAGAACAGGGTGCGCTGAGAGGAAGCGTCTGGTGCCGTCCTTCTCCTGCACGGCGAATGTCATGAGGCCCTCACTGTGGTCCCTGGAGTACTTGAGAGCGTCGGCCTGCTTCCTGAAGACCTGCCACCGGGTGGTTGGACCTTGGCTGAGGGACCTCAGCCAGAGGGGAACCTCCACTTCGGGCGGCAGGCGGCTTGCCCTCAGCTCTGCCTTGACGAGCTTGGCCGTCACGGGGGACGTCTTGTAGAACACGGTGGGTGCGATGGTCGGGCTGTTGGACGATGCCATGGTGCTCTGCTGCAGCAGTCTTTGTTAGGTACTCACACTGTACTGTACCACTGCAAGGCCTCAGCCAGTCTGGGCTCAACCGACAGACAACTCGGGAGTCACCTTCAAATGTCGCTACGCTGGCGCTTAACAGTACGACAGTTCGCCTCGCTCGAAGATTGAGATCAGGCGAAGGGTTGAAATCAGCCTCAAAACTAACGTCACGCGCACTTACCCTTGAGAACACACAAACGAAAATGGAACCTTCACTCTTCGCAAACAGTAACCGTCATAGCCGCGAAATCACAAAACGCATTCAAACCATAACAGTGAAGAGTGCTTTGAAAACTAGAGACTGTAGAAGGCGCTTTGCACTCGGCGCTACCAACGTGAAATGTTAAATTGTGCTGCGGTCGATGGCTACGTGTGAGCTCAAAAAGCAAGCAGTGGCGCAAGAAAAATACAATAAAAATGAATAATAAACGCTGATTTTTCTTCTTTCCATAAAATATTATCAAACACATGTAGATAAGATACTCAGCTTTGCAGAGCAGAAGCTGGCAAAAGTGTTGGAGATGGAGACAAATGACACTCGAAGAACACGGGGTACATTTAAATCTTAAATTTGAAGACTGACCTCAATATCGGGGGGCAGCAATCGTCGTGTGCTGTTTTGTCTCCGTCTACTTTTCTGAGAACTTGCTCTTGCGCGCCAATTGCGCAAGATCTTGCGAAAGTCGAATTAAGCAGCGGACGAGGAAGAGGGGAGAGGGGGAGGGAGGGTGGGTGGAGGCGCTAGAGGCTGGTAACCATACACAAAAACGGAAGCTATAAAGAAGTACCATATATGCATTGGTTAGGTGGACCAAGGGAAAGGAAAGTGTGATTAATTTCTTATTTTGGGAAAGTAAATTCGAACTTCTGTTTTTCTAACGCTTAAATACGAACAATACACGTTTGGTTTATGGTGGATATGTTGGCAACAATGCCAATTGAAAGACCTGCCGGGAATTACAAATGTACAAGACAGGGGGTAAGATTATCGCGCGCCCCCCTGCGATGATTGGATGATTGAGAGTGCTCTGAGCTGAACGGGGGAACTGTTCTGTCTGTCTCTGCAGCCCTCCGCCATGCTCAACCCTGCCAACGACATCCGCCTGAACGCGGAGAAGGCCATCACGGCGACGGGCCCGTGCTTCATCATCGCGGAGATCGGCCAGAACCACCAGGGCAACTTCAACATGGCGAAGAAGCTCATCCGCATCGCGAAGGTAACTTACCCTCCAAAAAAATAAGCAAAAGAAAAGTCAGAAAAAAGTCCTTGTAAAATCAGAAAAAAATCAGAAAAATTTCAGAAAATGTAAAAAAAACAAACAAAAACAAAAACAACAGAAAAACAACCAAAAATAATAAATTGGTGTACGCTCGAATTTCTAGTAAAGAAGCCCTCGGCTCGAACGAGGCCTCGTTCTCGGCTCTGTTCACCGCCAGGAGCAGCGAGAAACACGTTTAAAATGCGCTTCTATTCTGCAGGACTGCGGCGCGGACTGCGTCAAGTTCCAGAAGAGCTGCCTGCCCTCCAAGTTCAACCGGCGGGCCCTGCGCCGCCCCTACCCGGGGCCCAACTCGTGGGGCGACACGTACGGCGCGCACAAGAAGTACCTCGAGTTCTCGCAGGAGCAGTTCAAGGAGCTGCAGGACTACGCCGAGCAGGAGGTCGGCATCATGTTCTCGGCCTCCGCGATGGACGAGGTGAGACGTGGGGATTTTAAAATCAGAAAATTTTCCAGGAAAATTCGAAGTAAAATTTGAAAGAAATTTAAATGTTTCCTAAAAAAAGAGGTGGGGGGTGTGAAAATTCTTAGGAAAAATTACGATATTTATTCATCTAAACAATAATCTTGATCTTTTCGCCCAAAATCTTCTCTTTTTGTTGTTAATTGAAATACCGGATGGCTGATTAACCCCGCGCACTTCTGTAGTTAGACTGTACCGCACGCAGGAGTGCGGGCGTGTTGCCTAATCGCCCGGCCCGTAAGGCGCCGTGGACAGGGGCGATAGGCAAGCCCGCCCGCACTCCTGCGTGCGGTACAGTCTAACTACAGAAGCGCGCGGGGTTAATCAGCCACCTAGAAACTTGTAAGAAGGCGACTCTGGCCAATGCGAAGAAAATTATAATGCCAGAACTCTCAATAAACGGTGTACTTTGTTTGTGCAGGATTCGGTGGTGATGCTGGACCACCTGGGCGTGCCGTTCATCAAGGTGGGGTCCGGGGACAACTGCAACCTGCCGCTGCTGCAGCGCGCCGCGTCCACGGGCCGGCCGCTGCTCGTGTCCACGGGCATGATGAACCTGCGCGACCTGCGCAAGCTGCACGAGCACCTGACCAAGATGCGGGCGCGCTTCGCGCTGCTGCACTGCGTGTCCAGCTACCCGGCGCCCGTCGAGCAGCTCAACCTGCGCGTCATCCCCGAGCTGCGGCGCATCTTCCCGGACACGCACATCGGCTACTCGGGCCACGAGCTGGGCGTGGAGGCGTCCATCGCCGCGGTGGCGGCCGGCGCGCGCATCCTGGAGCGGCACCTCACGCTCGACAAGACCATGAAGGGCACGGACCACTGCTGCTCGCTGGAGCCGCTCGAGATGGGCCGCATGGTCCGCACCATCCGCCACGTCGAGGCCGCGCTGGGCCGGCCGCTCAAGGAGGTGCAGCCGTGCGAGGCCACCTGCTGGCTCAAGCTCGGCAAGTGCCTGGTGGCGGCGCGCGACCTCAGCCAGGGCCACGTCCTGGCCTCCGAGGACCTGTGCGTCAAGGTCGCGGACCCCATGGGTATCCCCTCCAACCGCTTCATGGACGTCATCGGCAAGACCATGCGAAACAACCGCAGCTTCGACGACGCCATCCTGCCCGAGGACCTGGGCATGGTGAGCCAGGACGGCGACGACGGCGACGACCCCATCCCGGAGCCGGACCCTGACGATTAAGGGACTGGCGGTATTAGCCCTTCATTATTTGTTAACGATCGATCGAAAGTCGCACGCTCAGATTGACGTTTGCTGCGAATGGCCATTAATTCTTGGGCAAAGTATTACGGATACTTGATGCAAGCATGGCCAATTGTCGTCTCTGGCATTCGAAATAGCTATACCATAAAATATGGTAACGCAGCTTCCTAATTTGTCTGGGTAACTAAATGTTTTTAATGTTGTATTAACTTTTTCAGTATTGAGAAAAAAAAGGACAAAAAAGAGGGTCATGACACCCATAACACTAAACTGATTACTGTATTTTTGGGCAACTGAAACATGCGTCTTATTTGCGCAACCCTGATCTTAATTAAGACCCACGCAGTTTTCGAATCTCGCAAGTGACGGATTTATTGCACTCTTCCTTTATTTTACCCTACAAGGAGATGCAAATTCACCACTTTCTCGTTTCAAACCCCTGGAAAAGAGCGCTTCAAAAAGGTGTCCCAATTAAGAGTGATTATGAAATGTTTTGCATGATGTAATGACATTTTCCCAATTTCGAGAAAGCCGTATTTGGCTAATTTAGTGATTATGTCCAATTAGTAGCCCCGTGAGAAATGACGGAACGATGTCGAAACGACATCAATCGTTTTATTGTCAGTTTGATCGTTTTGGCATCGCCCCGATTTCCGCTATGACATGACATTTCAGAGGTACCTAAATATTTGTGATGGTCTTGGACGTTAAATTTGTTCTTTATCTTTGTACTTTTTTCCGGTATACAGGGTGGCCCATAGGCCTCGCGACGTGCGGGCGGGCTTGCCTATCGCCCCTCACCTGGGCGTCTACGGTTCTGGTACTTGTGCACGCCTGCATGTCCTCCTACAGAATAAAAAAGTTACGTTCTCCAGGGTCTGTGGGCCACCCTGCATAGTTTGGTAGTAGGTAGCATACTAATGTGTAATAGGTGGACACGAGACGCACGAAACGATTTTCGAGGAATTAATAACTTTTAGTGATAGCAAGGGATATCCTGATTCTCTAATATGGAATAAATCAAATTTGATGTTACCTTTTTCCTCTTTTAATATTTGTATGTATTCTTTGGAAGCTTTGATGTTGGTGTTTTTAGTATTTAAAACATTTGCATTTTTACAGTTTGTGTTTAGAGAGCATGACATTGTAGAGAGCAGTCCAAGAACATGTTTGCTACACTTTCAAGAGCAAGGTAGGACGTTTTACCATTTAAAGGTACGCCACATTAATGCCTTTCAAATGTCAATGTAAAGGTACACTAAAACTTCGCGCTAATGGTGCGTTTTTCAAAAAGGCCTCATGGCAGTCCACCGACCCCTCCTTCCTTTATTTTGCTTATACTGTACCGCACGCAGTCGTGCGGGCGGGTTGCCTACTCGCACGGGTCGCACCGGGCCATAAGGCGCCGCGGAGAGCGACGGTAGGCAAGCCCGCCCGCCCGCCTCTATGCGCGCTACAGTATACGCAAAATAAAGGAAGGGGTCTGTGGACCACCCTGTACCTACATTAAACATTTTCGTTGCTCCCCGATCAAGGTGCGACGTCCTACCCTTTGTTTTTT